CCATCACTAGTTAACCCCCCACCCCTCCCCGGAGCTGTATCCTGGGCACACACCACTCTGCCCTCTGGAACTACCCCTAGTTTAAGGTGCACCCATTAGGTTAGGTTTAGCTTTTAGTCTAGATAAATTGTAATTTCATTTTGCATAGTTGTGGTTAAATTAGGTTTAAAAAATTGCTTGCATTGTACTCTGTAAGTTAGACTTAAAGAATTGTGGTATTGTGTTTTGTTACTTACTAATTTGTGTAGTCTTGGTTAAGTTAAATCATAGATAAGATTTTGCTGTGTTCTGTATAATTGTCTCTCTGCTGTTTAAACTTGCAGCCTGTCTGCTCTCTGTGTCGCTCTCTCTCTTAATCCCTTCCCCCCACATGCTCTCCCTGCTCCTACTGCTGCCAAACCTCAATTGTATTACTAAAGTCTAGCATAAAACCCCATTGGTTACCCCTTTTCTCTCTAACACACCTCACATTTTACATTTACACCACTGTGACACATTTTTTACCTAAAGTTGTCGGTTAGTTAACACATTTTACCCATACTGTTAGTTGGTTATATGCTGCTGTGACACACTCTTTACATAGAAATTGTTAGCAACCTGTTACATTTATACTTCAGTGTTAATTGGTTACCAACTGTATTGTACCCCACTATTGAAACCCCCTATCCTATTTACTAAAAGAAACCCCTCCCCAATTATCTACCTTAACAAACCCCATGCCCCTCACTATTAAATTTTCCCTGTTTTTGCATTTTCTTAATAAAGTTTATTTTATACCCCATCAGTGCAGTAGTTGTCCCCCAAGATCCCCTACCTGCTGGCAGGGACAGTACAGTGTTGCTCCAATTCCATATCAAATGTGTTTATTTTTGGAGGGGACAAAAATGTTTTCATATGATCAGACCCACAGACTCCAGCTAAGATCTGACTCATTTTGGCTCAGGAACCATTAACAGTCAAAGAGCCTGTAGAACAACCCCCCCACCTCTCCTCAGGTTAGGCCCTCCATCACACCTGTGCAACCCTCTCGTCTTCTAAGGAGTTGGTAGAGGTGTCACCAAGGATATAATCTGAAGACAATGGAGGTTCAAAAGTCAGCCTATAATTGGAATTTAGTTAATTCTCATCATTCACCCAGAGTTACAGTGGCTCAATGGTGCTGGTGTAATCCACTCGTTCTGCATGTTATATCTCCTCGTCTACCATATCTATTACTACTAGCATCCCTCCAGTTCCTGGGGTAGGTCTCATGCTTTTAGCACTGAAGATCTCTGATTCAATCCCTGCTGATGGCTCAAGTTGGGGTTCATTATACTGGCAGTAGTAAAAAAAAATAGCATTTATTTTTGTCACTAAAGGAAGAGATTGGCTTCTGCTGCTACAAGGTGCCATTTTTACATAGTCATTTTCAGAGCAGAACTCCCTTTAAACCAAGCCCTTGCATACAGAGATGGGTGAAGACCATCGACAGCTAAGAGAATGGCATTGGCTCATTTCTGGGTCCAGAAAGTTCCTATTTTATCAGTTTTGGATAATTAGCTGAACATTTAGATGCTATTCTGATCTGAACCCTCAATACCATTTGAAGTTTGACCCTCACAAGGGACTATAATTAAATCACTTTTATTTAAAAAAACAAACAAAAATAAACCTCACACCAACCTTAATTTAGATTCGTCCTTCCATCTACTTCATCAGGTAACAGAACAGACTGAGGCTGGTGATAAGAGAACATTTCCCTCGATGCAACAGAATAAGAAAACCCACCACCTACCCATTCCTAGGGGCGATAAGGTCAAAGGGTCTAGACATTTTTGATTAAGCTGAATTGCTTATGATACACTTCCTAACTGGCATCAATATTAAGCCACTACAAAAACAAAACAAAAAAAGGAATTTCTCAAAAAAACACACTGAGATCAGATACTACAGTGAGAAATGAAGTAAACTAGGCTGTTAACAGGAAATGAGGAAAAGTCTGCAAAAGTTACACAGGTTCAAACCACGCTAGCTCAGGATTCAATGTCTTTTATCTTACAGTACACTAGATCACTCAAGTTCTGGACTAGACCACTTAAAGTAGGGGAATTTTGTGCATTTTACCTGTCAAATGATGGCTTCTCTCCACAGTCAAATGCATCCTGTAACTCTTTGACAAGGTTAGCCTGGCCCGGAAGTCGAAAGAGCCCTTCCTCCTTCAGCCCTCGCAGTCGGATAAAATCCACACACTGCTCCACCAACATGGGAGCCAGACGATTCCCATATCGCTTCTCATACCGGACTGTGTCTTCCAGCTTCTGTCCAAAGATACCTATGCATAATAAGGAGAGCCATGAGTGGATTGAGGGAAAAATATCATTGGAATGAACAAAGAGGGAAGTCGGTGCACTAATGATTTGTACCACAATCAGCCCTCCTTACAGATTAGTCAAATATAAGGGTAGTCAGCTCCTAAGTCCAGGGATAAAGAGCTCAATTTCACATGTAGCGCCCTTTATAAAAAAAATACTACACCACTGTATTTTACCATAATGGTCCAAAACACAATTGTAAAAATATCATGAACCATTGGCACAGAATATTGTAACTTTTAAAAATAAAACACTACCTTCAAATCCTAAAGGGAAAGCAACGCAGGGACGTAGAACTCTGTCACAAAAGTGTTGAACCCAAGATATTACATCTTTGTTTACTCTTTGAGCTGAGGTTAAGTGTACGTGGCCATTGAAACAGCTCTAATATCACATCTAAGGTATATGAACTTTTTACTCTGATTACACTCAGGCTAAAACTTTCAAAAGGGGCATAAGTGACCTAGGAGCTTAATTCCCATTGACTTTCAGTAAGAATGGAAAATGGGACTTTGGCAGCTCTTTTGAAAATTTTACCCTAAGGGCCAGATTTTCATAGCTGTAAAGCAGCTGCAGCTCCTACTGACCTCAGCTGGAGTTGTTGGTGGTCAGCTCCTCTGATTAGACCATAAGTTAAGTGTACACACACACACACACACACACACACACACACTTCACTCCTATAATTTACTACAAGTTGTACAATTAGTCTCTTTTAGAGTAACAACAAAACGTGTATGTGAGAAAGAGCAGGTGGTGGTATAATATGCCAGACTGACAGCCCTGAAGACTAATGCTTGTATTGATCCACATGACAGGTAAGCTATGAACAAGGTTCAGTTTTGCCAGGGCCGGCTCCAGGCACCAGCAAACCAAGCAGGTGCTTGGGGCGGCACATTTTCAGGGGCGGCATTTCAGCCAGACTCTTTTTTTTGTGTGTGTGTGTGCTTGGGTGGCAAAAGCCTAGAGCCGGCCCTGGCAGCAGCAGCGCGTCCTGCACCGGGGGCGCCCTGGGGCCACTGCGGTTTGTGTCGGGGAGCAGCGCCCGCACCTTATGGCCGGGCAGGCTCCAAACGCGGGACACTCAGGCTGGGGGCTGCCCCTCGGGGCACAGGGAGCCGCCTGCAGGTGCCGCAGGGCAGCCGCCCCCCAGCGCTGCAGCCGGGGCTGGGCGAAGCGGCCCGAGCCACCCAGGGACTGCGGCAGGACGGCCAGGAGCAGCAGCAGCAGCAGCGGGGTCATAGAGGGTGGGGCGCTGCCGTGTGGAGCCCCTGTCCCACTCTCGGGGCTCCGCTCCCTCTGGGGTTGCCCTGCCCCGGCTCCTCAGCCCCCTGCCGGGGCAGTCCCCCGGCTCTGTCCTCCCGGGTCCCAGCCGGCCCTGGAGGCGGGAGCCCCGGCTGGAGGGACCCTGGGCTGAGGCGTTGCCTGGGAGCCCTGCTGCTTACCCCGACCCTGCCAGCGCTGGACCGGCTGGAGGCGAGGGGGGAGCGGGCGGAGTCAGCGCTGGTGGGGGGAAGCCCAGCACTGGGGCGGCAGGCAGTGCAGGTAGGGAAGGGTGGGGGGGAGAGCCCAGAGTTGGGGTGGCAGGGGGTGCGGGTGAGGTGGGGGGGAGAGCCCAGAGTTGGGGTGGCAGGGGGTGCGGGTGAGGTGGGGGGGAGAGCTGAGGGCTGGGGTGGGGGGCAGCCAAAAAATTTTTTGCTTGGGGCGGCAAAAAACCCAGAGCCGGCTCTGAGGTTTGCTTACGCAATGCACTTCAAACCTGATCTGGAGATGTAACTACCGCTTCCCTGCTATTAATGGCATCTCCAACTCCCTTCAAACCTTGGGTCTTTCTGCCAAAGAATGTCATTTGTGATGGTTGTTTTGTGATGTAAGCATCTGTTTCCTAGCAAGAGGGCTAAAGAGCACCAACACATTTCATATACAGAGGGACACTAAACAACCTTCAGACAGGAATTGAATTCCAAATAATGACCTACAGTTGAGAGACTTCCCTTTCCTATTACATAAGCCATAGAATGAGAAAAATCCAATAGGACAGATTCTTTCCTTTGATCAGCATGCCCAGCTCCAGTGACTTAATTTTGTTTTAAGAAAGATTCAAATTAGCAAGTTTTTGAGTCCATTTTCCTTCTTAAAACTAAATCTAATCATTAAATTTTGTTTTGTTTTTGTTTTTTAAATTGTATTGATTTTCACTAATATACCATAATTTATAAATTTCTTTAGAAAGTCTAGTTTCTGCGTCCAGCCACATGATTCTGGGATAGAAGACTAGCAGAGTTCTGATTTCCACGGTCCCTGCTTAAGAACGCTACCTGTTGGTGGGTGGAGAGGGGAGGAACCCTCTTTCCTAGCCTCACTCTCTGCATGTTGCAGAAACGCCAAACGGGAACCATCAGCAGCTACAGAAGGAATATTTGAAATGTCACGGTTAACAGAGCCACCCAGAGGATTCAGGGGGCCTGGGGCAAAGCAATTTCGGGGGCCCCTTCCATTAAAAAAAGTTGCAATACTATAGAATACTATATTCTCGTGGGGGCCACTCTGGGGCCCGGGGCCTGGGGCAAATTGCCCCACTTGCCCCCACCTCTGGGCGGCCCTGTCAGTTAATGAAGCTTAGAGAAAGACTAACTGGCACAGAAAGTTTGGTGTCCATCCAGGTCCCTGTCTCAGCTGCTAGAAGCCCATAGAAACTACCAGTAGGGTTTTTTTTATTTATTTATGTATTTATTAAATAACTTTTTGGTTTCTAGCTTGCTCCATACGGGGATGATAGGAGGATTAAACATACTTGTGGTTTTTGAGCTGATAGAGCTAAGGAGTGCTGTCTGGCAGTATAATGGAGTTCCTCCAATCCCTCCCTGGTTCAGGAGGAGTGCTGTCCAATTGAGCTCAGTTGAAAGCATGTGGTGAGACCAAGGATTCAAACCCCATTCTGCTCATGGGATTGTACCCAACTCCACAAGTCAGCAGCTCTTGGTGACCTGTTGAGTCAGGGCCTTGATGTAGTTGAATGCGAATTGGCAGCATAATTTTCACAAACCAAGGCAGAGTTTTGATTTATCACTGGGAATAGTTTGATCTGGCCTGACAAAATATTGACCCTAAACCTTGAAATAAATCTGAATATTTGTCAATATAGGTAAAATTGTAGTAAATTTTTAATTTGTTTCAAAATCAGCGTGCCCTTAATACACACAGGGTGGGGTGAGACTGGCCAGGAAATGGAAATATCACAAGAAGCAGTTTCCAACCTGGGCCAAAAGAAGAATCTTGTAACAAAGCCATATTCTTACTAGATTTCTAGCTTCAATTTCCACATATGCTTCAAATCATAACTGAAAACAGCAATTACTCCCCCTTTTAGAAGCTGCCTATTGTTGAAAATAGGAGCTCATTGTTAGTAACTGAGATGAAACTGGAAAATGTTTTGCTTTGCATGAAGTTAACTAATCTATTTTTTTTTCACATCAGCCTTGTGAAGTTTTCTGCACTGCTCTAGCCGTCTCTACCCAAGGCCTTTCCTGATAAAGCTATTCTATGAGCATACACTCAGAGTTTCCCCGTCACCAACAGCCCAGAATATTTCATGGCACTAAACAGAAGATTCAACACTCTTGAAGTTAAATTAATCAGCGTGAAATGTGGATTACAATTATAAGTACAACTCATGCCTGTTGAAAATACAATTAATATGAACGAGTTCTATCTCATTAACCGTACTTTTTTCTCACTCCACTAATGTTCTTCTGATGCATGTTCATATTACAGGCCTGCTTACTTCTGCACAGAAGAAAGACAAGTTCTCAACTCCATTAAACTGCTTAAGGTTCATATTTGCACTGACACCATTGTCAAAACACATAATTTCAGGTTAATAAATTTATTGGGTTGCTCTCCTCCCCCCCGCCCCCTTATGGAACTGGCTTTCAAATCTCGTCTAATCTGAAATGAATGAAGTGAAAATAGGGTTTTTGAGGCACTGGGGAAAAATGTTTCTATAGTGTTATAAACTGCAGATGCACTGCAGCGCAAGCTGTAGTATATTGAAAGCAGCTGCATAGTATTAAGATACCCATAACCAGCTCTCAACCAGTATCACTGAGTACAAACAGAGAACTAAGAGCGGATATGATAGATTTAAAATCATGACTGGTGGGGAGAAAGTGAATAATGAAGTGTTATTTATTCCTTCACATAACATAAGAACTAGAGTTCACCCAATGAAATTAATAGACAGCAGGTTTAAAAACAAATAAAAGGAAGTACTTCTTCATACAATGCACAGTCAACCTGTGGAACTCATTGCCAGGGGATGTAGCAAAGGTCAAAACTATAACTGCGTTCAAAAAAGAACTAGATAAGTTCATGGAGGAAAGGTCCATCAATGCCTATTAGCCAACATGGTCAGATATGCAACCTATGCTCTGGGTGTCCCTAGTCTCTGACTACCAGAAGCTAGAAATGAATGATGGGATTGATCCCTTGATGATTACTGGGTCTGTTCATTCCCTCTGAAGCACCTGGCATTGGCACTGTTGGTAACATGATACAGGGCTAGATGGACCATTCGTCTGACCCAGTTTGGCTGTTCTTATGTTCTTAAGTTATTTTCTCCAATATTTAAGTCTATGGGCCAGATTTTCAGAAACCTTTCTTGCATAGTTGCATGCATAGGTACACAGTTCGCATGCGCAATTACAGCATTTTTGTGTACCAAATTTTGTTAACTAGACCAAGGTAACTGTTATTTGCATGTGCATCCACAATCAAGGCCTGACCCAAAGCCCAGTGAAGTTAATGGGTGTCTTTCCATTGACTTCAACGGATTTGGATGATGTCCTAACAATGCACACAGTGTTCTGCAAATCTGGCCCACAGACTTCCATGATGATTTCTTTTGGAAGAGACTTTGTATATGTAAAACACAGTTCAACTGGCACAAGTGCCAATGAGCAGCAATGGCTCCAGCAGCATCATTCAATCCCCTGCCCGTAAACAAAGTGATTTCACTCACGTTTTCAGAACAGAAGAGTTGTTGTGTCAAAATGTAGAGAAAAACTGAAACAGCTGAAAGTCTCATTTCTCGACGAGAAGCCTGCGGCACCACTAAGTAAAAAAGGTCAACTGTCTGCAAATTAATCTGTTAATCCTTTTCTCAAATTCTGAACATTCCTTGAATAGTTAAGCTCATACGAAGGGGCAGACAGCAATGGAGAAGTAGCTTACACCAACCAGTACATAACTTGTATGTACATAGACACGTATGTCCTGTCTCAACTAGATTTTCAGAGGTGCTGAACAGCTCCAATTTTTCATTTTTTAAAAACAAATCTATCAGCAAAATTTAAATCTAGGGCTAGATGTTCATCACCCTTTGTGTGCATAGATACACAATTTGCATGTGCAATTACAACAGTTGCACAGCACTTGTGAAAAAGATCTGGCCCTCTGCCTTTATTGTAGTGGAAAAACCATGGCTAGTGCTGCTTCCTCCTTTAGGGCATATCTTGTTCACCTTTGCCTGTGTGGGCAAAACTCCCAGAGCAATGGAGCCACCTTGTTACTGCTGAACATGGTGGGCAGGCAGCAAGCACTCATGCTGGAAAAGATTGGCACATGTTGCAGATCACTCTGTGTGGCAGTTTAGTATTAGGCTAGGAAGGGAACAGATGGGAGCACAGCCATGGGACCTGCAAACTATGGGGAAATAAGGGCCAGATCCAGCTGAACGTAGCAACTTGCAGCCTCAACTTCATCCAACTGGGGGGAGTGGCTACATATTGCTGCGAGTTGGGTAAAGAGAGGATTCCAACCATATTAACCCATGTGTGTGGCCCTGAACTCATGCTTGGAATGGGGATGAGAATTTCCATGTACTCAGAGTAGTTCTTAAAAACAGCACAAAAATGGCCATGATACGCTTCCTCTCAGATTCCAAAAGAAAAAGTTTCCCCTCTCTCATCAAAGAGTTAATTTATTTTTTTTCTTGGTGCTGAGACTCCTATTCCGCGTCACCTCCTACTCAGATCTTTTTGTTTTTTCTTTTAGCTTTACCTGCTGATGCATTTTGAAAGCCACCTTTACCTCGACAACTACCATGCTTTAATCATTAGGATTATGTGCAATGTAGAATTAATCTGGCTTTAATGTCGTCTCTGCAGCAAGTGGAAATGGGAGAACAAGCTGCAGTGGAATAGGATGAAACAAAGCAAGGCAATGATATGCAACAGCATAATGCATGTGTGGAAATCCGATATCTTTCGATCCAAGTATTTGGACACCTGGACTGACGTAAATTCTCTCATCCCCTCCCCTCATGTGGGAATAAGTGTCAATCAGATCTATTCTTCCAATTTTGCAAATCTTATGGCTGACCCTGGGTGTCACAGGTTCAACTCCCTCACCCCTGTGATTTTTAGTTCAGAGTTACCCTGATGCACCACAAAATTTATTCTTTCTGCCTCACTCCATCAGACTATTCATGGACTGTTAGACATAGAAGACAATACTAAGCTTACAACTACAAATGAACAAGGAAATTAATAAATCATTCGTGGAACATCGGCATCCTTATTGTTTCATACCCTTTGTTTTGGACTTCTTGTTGGCACTGAATACATGGCCCCCTCGACCTCTCAGAATAAAAGGCTCTAACAGCAAAGCACAACACATTGACAAGCTGTACATACCTTTGCGAAAACTAAAGCACCGTTTAATTCTCCTATAGGTAGTTTTAGGAATGAAAGGAGCCGATGCTAAGGCCCCTGAGGTGCGGACCCCACCATTTCTATCTTCAGGCATCATACAGGCCAGAGACCCAGTATCAAGCCAAAGCTCTCCTTTAGAAGCTGTATCCAGATGAAAGACTGTGACTGTTCATTGTTATTGATTGATTGTGGGGGGGGGGAGGTTTAATGGTGCATTTTCTTCTAAAGTTGGAGGTTTGTGATCTTCTAGATCTCCGTAGTGTTATTTTGTTTTGCTTTTGTTTTAGTTTCCTTCCCTGCTTCGGGAAGAATTTCCTTTTGTCTTTTTCTTTTCTTTTCTTTTTTTCCTTTTATTTCCTGTGGTGAGACAACTGGCTACAAGGCAATGTCACAACAAAAGAATTTCAGCCAAAAGATGCATCTTCTATTCAAATGGAAGTGTCTGTGGAAGAGGGGTATGTGCTGGCGGGGGTGGGGAGGGAGAGCTCTTCCTGTCAGCTGGAACTGGGGGTAGGGTGGTGGGGGGCTCAAATTCCACTGGAAAAGGTCAGCACGTCGTGATGCACAAGGGGGAAGAGAGAACAATGACAGAAAGGCCCCTGAAGAATTCTCCAAGATTCTCCTTGCCGGCTCCTTTTATCTCCGCAAACAGGGAACAAAAATAATGGCACCTTCGCCCGAAAGACTCCCTGTCCATAATGGATTCTTTTCAAAGTGCCTTCCTCCGTAACCGCCTCCCCTTCTGATGTTCTTGTGGGCTTCCAGGTTGTTTTGTTACCTTCAAACTACCAGAAGCTCTTGTGGGAGAGAGGCATCAGATGCAGTGGTATTGGTCGGGATCTGCTGAAGAATACAGGCTTCCACACGGGAGATGCTTTGCTCATTTCCTCCCTTTACTACTATTCTCATCGGAGGTGTTACGAATGCTGCTGCTGTTGCTGCTGCTGCTGCCTTCTGCTCCAGCCAGTCACATACAGCAGGTGCAGGCAAAACAATGTAAAGGAGGGAGCTGCTGCAACCTTGATTTTTTTTTTTTGACTTTGAGTTGACTTCAAGCCACTGTCACGTGTGCCAGCTTAACAGGCAGTAAGCCTCAGCCCTTCTGGCTCTCAAGAGGCTCCAGCCCTTGCTCTGATTTACCCCCTCCAACCACCCCCACCCCGATCCCCACCCCCACTGCCCGGCCCATTAAAACTCTGTTGTTTCTTCTTCTCCTCTACCCCCTTCTTTCACTTTATTTCTGTTTTCAAGCTCTGCAATCAAAGCCTTTTTAATCTAATCGGGAAAGGAATTTCATGTGCAAACAGGCATTAGAAGTCCTGGCTGATTTTTTTTTTTTTAAGGAATGTTCTCAGTATTCTTCCTACTCTTTTGGTTCAAAAACAATCTTGTTCAGAGCACACACACCCCCTTTTCCCTTCCTAGTACCAGTTAACAAACAACAATTTAATGATTTGGTTAATTATTTATAGAACTGCTTGCTCTATGACCAGGATACAATTCCAGTCACCAGCCAGACCCTAAATATTAGTGGTTTCACTGAGCTCATGCACAGACACCTGTGGAATACACACAAACCTTGTTTATAATACTCAGAAAAATTTGATGATTCTACGTAAAACTATGTTTCACATCAAACACACAAATAATTTGGGTAAGACAGGGCTCCTGTGGTTCACTGTATTTTGTCCTAAACTTTAGGCAGCAGGGGCAAAATGGGTGTTTTGCTTTTGATTAATTGGTTGGCTGAGTTTATTTGTTTTCTGTATTTGATTATTTTTATGCTGCTGGTTGGTCAACGTTATGTGATTGTAAGTCTAATTAATTGTTAGAATACTACAGCTTTTGGATAGGATTTTTTAAAATTGTTGTTTAAATCTAACTATCTAAATAACATAATTATAAACTCCGAGGGCACAGACTTTGAGCTAGACTCTCATTTGATGTCAATCACTGAAGTCAATGTTGATTTACACCAGCTGAGAATCTGGTCACTTGTACAGAATTTATTTTCCCTGTGAAGCCTTATGCATACCTACAGAATTAGATAGCGAGTCCATTAATAATAATAATGATTATATTAATAATAAGGACTCTTATTCAGCAGTTAGTCTGTTTCAGGTTGCTTCTGGCATAATTTATATAGAAAAAGGGGGGGAAATACACGTGTTGAGTTGTCACAAAACAGCCAAAGAGACCTGATTAGGGCTTTTGGAGTTTCAAAAGTAATAGTTCAAATGAGAATCAGTTAAATAAATAGGTTTTGGAGTGGTAGCTGTATTAGTCTGTATCAGCAAAAAGAATGATCATCACTACAAAAGTTTTTTTCTTCTGCTGATAATAGCCCACCTTAATTGATTAGTTTTGTTATAGTTGGTATGGCAACACCCATTTTTTCATGTTCTCTGTGTATATATATCTTCCTACTGTATTTTCCACTGCATGCATCCAACGAAGTGGGTTTTAGCCCACGAAAGCTTATGCCCAAATAAATTTGTTAGTCTCTAAGCTGCCACAAGTACTCCTTGTTTTTTTTAAATAGGCAACTCTCTAGGGGCACAATTCCCAGATGTCTCCAGGCCCTAGGATAATGCCTGGTATCTCTGTGTAAATACATTAGAAATGTAAAACCACTCAAGATTGTGTTTCAGAGTAGCAGCCGTGTTAGTCTGTATCCGCAAAAAGAACAGGAGTACTTGTGGCACCTTAGAGACTAACAAATTTATTAGAGCATAAGCTTTAGTGGACTACAGCCCACTTCTTCGGATGCAAGATTGTGTGGCTCAATACCAGCATTTGTGTCACAAATAGAATTCTCTCAGGAATGTATCTCTGTTCCAGGATGGAAATCGTAGACAGAGTGTGTCCATGCAGAATAGTCAACAGCCTGGTAGTCAGGGCACGGACCTGGGTCTTGGGGACCCAAGTTCAGTGGAAACAATTTTTGAAGCCTCAAAATTTTTCGGGAAATAGAATTATTGTTTTCTGGCCAGGACTTCTCACAATAATTTTCCTCACGTTTTCCAGAGTGAGACTCATTTTAGAGTTAACATATTTGCTCAAAGCAACAGAGGGTCCTGTGGCACCTTTGAGACTAACAGAAGTACTGGGAGCATAAGCTTTCGTGGGTAAGTGCCCCCCTCTTCGGTATAATCCTCCCGAAAAGG